AATAGATTCAAGTGCAAGTGCATTTCTCTCGATTGGTGGTAAATATAAAGACATTTTCACTTGTTTAGTTAATGAATAATCATTTGCCTAATGAAATTTGAATGCTGAATATGTATCAGCTGTAATAATTGTATTTTATATTTATTAAATCTCCAGGCACTGAAAGACAATGGTGTGGTTCTGGTACTGATCCACCTGGATTTTTTTTTCGGGGTCGAGTGTCTGCAAATCCCTTTGGTAACTCAATGATGGCAAGGTTGTTTGGAGTCACACTGGCGGTCAATATCAATGCATTCTTAACATATGACATTTCTGACGAAATCGCAGCACTTCCGAAACATGACATTATAGATCTTATTGGAGACATACTTCCCAGTATAGATGAGATGGTGTTACTAATAAATACCTTTATTGACATCGTTTACGAAAATACCCAATCAGCACTCAGAGAACTGACATTAGAACTAATTGGTATCAAAGAAGACTTAGAAACCATTATGACTGGAAATGAACTATTCAGTGATTTACCCAATATCATATCGCCTGTACCATCACGTGCCAAGAAAATAATGTATATATGCATCGATCTAGAACAACAACATGCTGATGAATCCACAAGATTATCTAGTAGTAGTGTCAACTCGCTTTTCAACTATGCACATCAGTTACAGAGTAATATTGAACGATGTGCACTGTTATATGTCGAAAACGTGCTGAAAATAAGAAAAGATTTCACAGGAGTGGGTCTGATGTTTCAAGCGAAACTCAATATTGCTGCATTGGACTTTGGATCAGTTCAGATTGACATTGTACAGTCAAACATATTAGGGGAATGCAGTAGATTCAGTGATATGTATGGTTTGTTTGAAGATGATAAGTCTACAAAGGGTTTAATTAAATTGTCTCACAGCATAAAATACAAAAGACTGACACTAGGCCCCAATTTGGGTGGTGCATTTGCTCTTGCACCAAATACAGACGAATTTTTGTTTCATTTTTTTGGTGGCGTCAATATTCTTCGCAATTTTGACGAAGTGAATGTGTTTATCACCAACGAGATAATTCGTTTTCAAGTTGATGGTTTTATTTGGATTGTATGTTATGCAAGTTTATATGCTCAAGCATCTGTTTTTTTCCTTGGTCTGAACAAAGGTGGACAGTACGAGGGGAATTTGGCTTTGGACACCAGTCTTTACCAATGAGAATGACT